TAGAAAAGATTTTGCACGTCGGTGCTAGGTTGGTCGAGGTATATAAGTACAAACGTACTCCGAAAGGCTATTTATTTTGTAGGTGTATTCAATGCGCTAGCGAAGGATTAGCGAGGACCTAATCCTAACCTACCGCATTTTGACTGGGAAGGTTGGCTCTGCTTTGTCTTGGCGATTTAGTCCTGCAAGGTTAGTTTGTCTCCACAGACTTTTATAAAGCTTGAAAAACCGTGGTCCGATCGAGTTAGAGCGGAGGAACGGTTATTGCGCCGAGTCACCGGGCGCTAGAATTCACTTCTAGCAACGGTTGTAATAGAAGCTGCGGTTAAGGAGATACAGCGTAAATTAGATGCAATAGGGTGACACCACGAAAAATTACCTCTTCCCCATCTTCATACTTCGCCTCAATTTTCTGTACTTTCATGTACCTTTGGTAGTCTTCTCTTCTTTCAAATGATTTCCCCTACCTTTTTACTTCTTCTCCTTAATGCACATGACTCGCATAACAGGGATGGCTATTGTAATTAACATAGGCATTAATTGGGTCGACCAGGATGTGTTTTCGGGTGTTTGCGTTTTGGATCCAAAAGGAAGTCGAGGCACCCCTATCAGCTCCTAGATCAACTACCCGCTCAAGAAGAAACATAGGATCATAGGATCATAGGATTGTAGAGAGCAGAAGGAGAAAATTTTTTGTCAACACCATCTCATCCCGATCACTGTGTGGAGGCCGCGATTCGAGGTTAAGCGGTAATCCACGAGGGACCGTCACAGCTTCATTAGAAGTTGCAAGGACCAAACGTACTCACAATATAAAAATCTAACGTTTGTTTGAAACATTCCTCTCAGGCTGCGCCTGGTGAAAATCATGTCAACGCAACGTCGGCGATAGTCCAGGGAGCACAGGTTTAACTGCAGAAGTCTCAGGAGAGAAGTCAAGTCCCGTAATTTTACGATGTATTTCGATCCCCGCCATTGGACCTTCTCAATGAGGTCACATTCGAACTTGGTGAGAGGGAAGAAGGCAAGTAATCCGTGTTCGAGAATGGGGCGGACATGGGAAGTAACAACAGGTCTGAAGATATTCGGAGTCAAACTTGAGAACGCCCTTCGTATGACATGGGACTTCCTTTCTGCTGCAGCAATCCTTCGTAATGTGTCCTGAGTAGCCCGTAGATCAGCTGACACCAATTAAAGTTCTGAGCAACGCCCCATAAATGTGGTGGTCCCGAAAGGCTCAGGAGCATCAATGGGGAGGACCGAGTACTTATCGCGATTTATGGGCAATCGCCATTTGACTGATCACTCACGTAAAGTATCAAGTGTAGCCTGTATTCGGCCCGCATCGTCAATCCGGGATACCTCCATCCACAACTTCAAGTCGCCAGCGTACATCAAGCAATCCAACTGAAGTTCCGCCGGGAGGTCATTGACGAAGACCTTGAAAGTTCTTGACTCAGGGCTGATCCCTGTGGGACACCGCTAGTCATGAGCACAGGAGCGGAGTAAGTCGCGTTCACGTCGACTCGCACTGTCCGGGCATACAAAAATTCAGCGATCTAATAGAGAACGTTCACAGAAATACCTATTCAACGCAGTTTATAAAGACGGTTTTCATGCGGAACCTCGTCAAAGGCCTTGCTGAAGTTGACAAACATAACATCCAGACGTTTCCCAGCGTCTATTGCTTTCACCCATCTTTCATGGGCCACAAGCAGATTCGAAGAACCTGAGCCTGCCCGCCGAAAACCACGCTGTGCACAAGAGATGACGATTAGGTTCTCGAGGTGAAGAAGAAGTGCCCACTTGAGAATTCTCTCCATTACCTTGCACAATGTTGACGTTAAGCAGCTGGGTCGATAATTAGCAGTATTTTGATGAACCCCTCCATCGTGTATGGGTTTAACAACTCCAGTTTCCAATCAGTCGGGAGCCGTCCAACGTTAAGCGCACGGCGAAATACCCGGCAAACAGGAGCGGTAAAGTAATTGGCCACAGTCTTGAGGAACAGCTGATGCAACATATCATGACCCGGCGAGGAGTTCGGATCTACTTCAGGAGAATGAAATATTTAGTTAGTTAGTTAGTTAATGTCTTTGGGAACAACATCAGCGCTCATTTCTACATGATCCAACGAAGAAGGGAGTTTCGGCACCGCCTCACTGGGAAACGGCATCTCCAACGAGTAAACAGATCAAGGTTGCACAGCGTCATCGGCAAGTAAACCGACCTGCGCCTAGGAACACAGAGCACGAATACCACTGCCTGCTCTGGTACTACTCTCCAGGTAAGAGAAGTGCCTTGGGTGTCGTCTTCGATTGAACAGCCGAAGCGAGGTCGTACTTATGCCGTTGCTCACGTCTTTTTGGGTTGCAGGTATTCTTGGCCACTTTATATTCCGGATAGTCAGGCCCGGCTTGCATGAGCATGAATCGGAGTACAGTTTCCTTATTTTGTCCATTCGACCACTCAGGTTCCTCCACTCCATGAAGGACATATGGAAAATGTCTTTTGTAGACAGGAACGACCTGTTCAACGAGCGTATTCGCTTTGGCGTAAAAGAAGTTCCACTAATCCTCCAGATCAAGGGGTTCGGGCATACTCCACTCCACAGTACTGGCAACCGGTTGTAGGCATAGGGGATCGAAAGGCCGGAAATTTCTGCGGAGACGACCTTGATTGTGGAGAGTAAGGCCTCGAGTCCAGAGGGATGAAACTACACCGTGAGCACTGGTACCAATGGGATGAAGAACGGCTAGACCGGCAAAATCTGATGGTGCCTGAGAAAGTACAAGGACAAGAATATGGGGGGTTGACTTGCAATTATACGAGTACACATTAGGACATTAGTTATATCCGATAACCGGCCCTAAACGGGCGAAATCAAAAGCGTTTGAAGAAGGAGCGCAATGCAGTTGGTCTCAGTCGACACTCGGGGCGTTGAACTCACGCAGTAATAAGCAGTCCCTGCCTCCACTGCGCAATTCGATCGCGTTCAGCAGGCAAGCTCCGGAACCTAATGGGCCCTGTAGACAACATCGAGCATGTGAGATCTGTATCCGTCATGAACACGGCACCAGAGAGTTTCGAAGTCGCCATCGCTGCCACAGGTAGCTTCAACCAGATAAGTCTTGAAGTCCGTCTTCCAGGTCTGCCTCCATGACGGTCTGCCGGCAAAAGTGATTTTCAGGGACCTGCATCTCCGATTCCAGAATATCCGGGGACAACCAGGTTTAGGTGAAAGGTATAAGATCCGACGGATTCATGGAGGTAAGAAGTTGAACTTCGTCTAATTTGTTTCTGAGACTGCGCACCTTGGAAGAAAGTACGCGCGGTCCGTTATGCAACTCCAACGCCCAGGCACGATAATGAGTGGTCTCAGCGCGTTCTTGGAGTTTTTGAATTATACGAAAATCCACGATATTTAGGTTTGTCTCACCGTAAGCACGAAAAGAGCTGAGTTTATTAACCGCTTGCTTTGTTTTTACTCGATCCTCTGTAGAGACGTCTCGCAGTACGAACAACGCTTCTCCTTTAAGACGCGGAGCTCGTCGGAGAATGTGATGGACTTCAGCATCGTTTTGACATACAACCTTCAATGGTCCGACGTTAGAGGAGTCTTCCTGTTTCTTGCCAAGGCGGAAAGCGGAGAAAATGTTGATTCCTGGCTCACCTTTGTCGAGCAGTAAGGAGGTCATCCGTTTTAGAAACCCTTGCTCATCCATAATCCTTTCAGCTAGAGTGGTTTTGGACGACTCAGGAGAATGTATGATGATTAGGCAACGGCCACTAGTAGGTGGTGTTTTTGTATCGGGGAGCTGCGGCTTGTGGAGAGGTGGACGCTCCTTAAGCCGACTTTCCAGCTAACCGACTCTATCCAGAACTAGCTACAACTGTAATTGTAAAGAAAATGGTTTGAGTTTCAACTTGGCATCTGTCTTGCCCTTACTTACAACCACTCGTACTGGCGAGGGCAGTGGCGCAATTTCTTTCGCTACGGATGCATAAGTCTTGGTATTTGAGGTTTTACCGTGGTCAACAACCGTCGGCTTAGCAGTGGGGGTAACCGGAGCAGAAGCTAGGGACTAGAACCATGGGGTGCCAAGGAGGCGGTATCGCTGATTACCTCGGTTTGAGCAGAAGAGAAACGCGGGTTCAGTGCAGGCAGTCCATCACTCGGTGCAGCACAGTAGCTGAGGTGTTCCCCACCTTTATCTGACGTGTATAATTAGGATAATGTGGACGTGTCGGTACCTGCCTTCTTTGCTGGAGGTCGCCAGGAAAGGATATACTTTGCGTTGGGGGCAGTGGAGGATCTTTCTGCATTTGCACAGAATGCAGACATGAGGGACTTGGACTGATTGGAGGTAGGCTATTCGAAACGTTACTAACACTCAGTCTAGCACGACATGTGTCACAAATGAAGACGACGGCTGAGGAAGTGACTCTCTGCAGTGGATCGTACAGATCTGGACCGATTATACAACATGTAATGTGCAGCCAACATTCGCAAAAGGAACCTTGAACAACCTTCGACTGAGAAGTAAAGCCTTACCACAATCCAAGCTTTTAGAACATATTGTATACTTTATGCCGTAACTTCCGAATGAATCTTCAAGACAGTAACGAAACACGGAATTCATCCAATCGTTCCAGCACCAATGGAACTAACGCCAGATAGCATACTTAACGCAAAAGCATAGTTAAACCAAGACATTTAAAACATTTTAATAACGGTTTGGACAATTAAGAGCACAATTTTGGTCAGACGATATGATCCGCGACTGGTTGAAAACATTTTTTGCAATACGGAACGTTTGATTGCACAACGACGGTTTCCCCTTAGTTTCAGATGCCTGTTCTGGGGTACCGCTTTCGACTCAATCCAAAAAAGTTATTTTTAATAAAAAACAAAGTATTTGTGGGTTTTGTCAGCATTTATGGACAGATATACTAAACTTTAGTTATCATGATTGACCCCAATTTGTGTATGTAGGCCTGCGCATAAAAATCCATGCATCTCCAATTACAGAAGAATAAGTATTCATTAATGAAGGGTTGTATGTCAACAAAAATAGCAGAACAAATGTTAGAGAATATGTTCGGCTGCTACTCAAAATGTGTTGTACTGCAGCAGTTCCGCTTGGCGAACAATTTTTTTGGCGTTGTGTAATCAATCGCCACTTTCCGAGAAATGGTCCGTGTTTCTGATGAGCGTAGGAGGTTTACTTGCTGTTTCTGCTTACACGTGAGGACAGGGACTATTCTATTTGGGGTTGCGCAGATCTTATTGCATCTGATTTGCATATCTGTCTTGGTGCTGTTGGCTATCAGACCTGATCTCATTCCGCCATCTGGATTAGCGGTGGATAAACAGCACAACTTTGCTGTGACCAGTGGACAGAGCTATGGTGGTGGTATGTTATTTCGTACTATACTATTATGAACCTTTCATTCCTTAAAACGTGTACTAACTCATTTACTTACACTGTACGTATTCTCCGACTGTTCTATTCCATAGAGCTGTTTCGTTCGTCCTTCCTTGATTATTTGGCCGTTTGCAGCCACGTCGACGTCGTTTTTTAGCATGTTTGCATCACGTATTCCAACGTAGCATCTGCGTGAGATATTACTTAGGCGTCTTGGTGCAATCGGCGGATACCTGTCCGCACGAGTTACCAAAAAGTGTCTGCTGGAGTGATCTTAGGACGTCCCTAAGTGAACAATTTTTGCGTCCCTAGCCGTCCCAATCGGACACTTTGGACGACGTTTGGTCACTCATTCTCCAGCCCACCTTTAATATATACCTGGAATACATTTTTCTAGTTGCGTATACCGTCAACATCAAGACGTAATCGGTTCCCATGTGAATGCGCAATAGTATAACCGTTAAGCCAAACCAAAAATGTTTTTGTGTCACCAGAATTCGTCCCAATCGGGACGACGTTTGGTCACTCCGAATGTTTTTTTAGTACATTACCAAATACGGTGAGGCCTCCACTTCGGAGCTGGCCCCGGTTGGAGCGTCACGGCTCGCTGGTTGGGGTCCAAAAGACGGTGAACACGTTTGGCTGGATACACTTGCTGACATGGCAAGGAGCCGACCTCAGTGGCGTTCCTTTTGTGAGTCTCTTTGTCCCTCACCATCCCTTTTAGTCTCCCCTTCCACCGATCTCATTTTGTAGCTTAAAACAATAATTTTTCTTTTTGCTTAATAGCCGACTGGTAGGTTACTGAAACGATGCCCATCCGTTGCTGGTAGCTCAGCTGGCATGCAACTTTTGTATTTATTTTCCTTTACCTTTATGTATTGCGGCACAGTGGCTGAGGTGTTCCCCACCTCTAGCTGACTTGTATAATGATGATGATGACTCCACCATCGCATTGAGGCTGGAACTGACCTTGGTGCGATGGTTTGCGTGCCTCAGAGATTCATTGAGCTATGCTGGGTGTGCTCTTTTGCACCTTCAGAGACACTCATACCAGATTGGTCAGTGGTTAGACGCTAGACAAACTCAGCCTCCTGGTCCTCTAGGTTGCGGGTTGGAATGAGAGTGGGTCCTTATTCCTTGTATCCTTCTTTGTATCCCACCGTCAAACCCGTTGCCTTGCAGTCAGGTTTTTGAACTAAAGGCTTTAGTTGAGAACCCTACTCGTTCTGCCAGGCCTAGGCAACCTGACAGTATCCTGCCCACGCAATACCACAGACCTTTCGTTAAATAATTTCTTGATGCTCTGGTCACCGCAGAGGATAATCAGCGATGCTCTATCTGCTGCATCGAGGCGGGTGGGTAGAGGATTGAATGATACTGCTCAACTTTCCCCGTCTTCTTATTCACCCTCTTACGCTTTTTCACCCTTGGGGTCCCGTTCTAACCGCTTTTATCCTCCCAATTTCCAACCCCTGATACTTGGCCCTCCCCCAGCATGTTTTGCCAAGCGTTTATCTTCTAGTTTTAACTCACCTGCAAACGCGGAGCGTCACTCCTGTTCTGTCGCCAAGTCCATTTCCAACCAAGCGGTCCACCCCAGTTCATCGGCTTCCATATGGAGCCCTTGATCCTACTTTCAATTGGTATGCCTCAACGTACACACTTTGCCACAGATCAGTCAAGCCATCACTTTCCCGAACATTAGACTCTCTCCATCGATATCTGCTGCTTATTGGAGACCCGCCTGCAAGATTCGAGCTCTGTACTCACTCTGCGATCCCTTACAGGTGACACCAGTATTTTTTTATTGCGCCTATCCGGTTCAAGTTCGGGTGGGGCTGGAACAATAAGAGAATCCCGTGAGTGTTCGATCTTGAGTGGATCGTTGAGCCAAGAATTGATGAAGTGCGCAGAGTTCTTGATGGATCTAAAACAATACCTTGGTATCGCACCGTGGCCAACCAGTTAATGCCCACGTTTCCTGCCCTAGCATTCCTTGCTGTTGCAGTCATGTGAAGAAAGCAAAGGATAGGTACAGAATAAGGCAGTACACTTGAACTAAGAAAATAACAATACATGAAGTAGAGAAAAGAACATCGTTATGAAAATGCGAGTTACACAGGAGAAGAGAAAGGTAGTGTTGCCACTCAAGAGCGTCAAGTTGCCGCTCAAACCTCTTAACCTTAGATTCCCTGATAACATTTTCCGGAAGCATGTTTTAGCGCTTGATGACTCGGCGTGACAGCAGGATTTCCGCCCTCATCCGATCGGACCGCGGTTTGTCCTGCTCCAAGGAATGACCGCGTATAACAGACAATCTAGCGGGACTGAATAGCCAAAATAAATCTGGACCGACCTTCCCAGATAAGTTACAGTAGGTTAAGATTAAGTCTTCTAAGCCTTCTGTAGTGCCTATAATACATTCCCAAACTAAGTAGACGCTCGGTGTATCTCCGTTTTCGTAATCCCTCCACTGACCTAGTACCTAACGTAAACTTCTGTCTAGCTCCATTTTGTCCCGGACGAGGCAGGACGGACAAGCCTAGACGCAGTATTCTAGCTGAGGCTGAACAAAAGCCGAGAACAGCCTCGTAGAGATGCCGCCCGTCAGGACTACGAAAGAACCTCGTATTGACCATAACATGCGGAAGCCTCTGCTTACGGCCATTTTTCACTTGTCGCCGGAGTGTAAAGCCGAAGAGTATACGACGCCTAGATCAACCTGGCTAGATACACGGGGGAGTTCGATCCCACCGACCAACTAATTCGCAGAAGGACAACCTCCGGGGACGACACAGCGTCGAGCACCAACCAAGCTGGTGTTGGGATTGCCCTGAGTCCCCTGGGAGAAGCTGCTCTGGTTGATTGAATTCCAATCAGTAGCCGGATGTGTGCAGTCCGATTGGCTGGCTCGTTCAAAGCTTCGAAGTCGCACGGGACTAATAGGTGTCTATTCATCATCGCTGCATTTGCGCCCAAAAACTGTAGCGATGATTCGGTGAAGAACGACTTCTACCGCCAACTGACCGAGCTCCTTCGCCACAGAAGAAACACGGAGACTGTTGTGCTGACTGGGGATCTGAATGCTCAAGTTGGAAAATTATCCACTGATGAAATGCATCTGGGCGGCCAACATGGTGTAGGCTCCCGTAATGATAACGGTGGGCGGTTACTACATTTGTGTGAAGATGCTCGCTTATTTCTTGCGAGCACTAATTCCCGACACAGCACTCGCCGGAGAGTGACTTGGCCCCCACCAGCCTCGATCCAGCTATGGACGCAAATCGATCACATTGCTATCAGTTACCGCTGGAGAAGCTGCAACCAGAACTGTCACTCGATTTGGAGCACATGTGTGGACACCTACCATGCACTTGTATGTGCTGACCTGCAGATGCGTTTTGACGGACGCTCACGACGATGGTGTGAAGGCATTTACATCAGTCAATCGACGAAGCCAACGGTTCTGATTGCATATCGTAATACGCTGACATGTGGGTTGAGTAAGCGCTCACTGGAGACAATTGAAGCTCACTGGTCACATTTCCACCAGACCTTACTGGCAGTAGGCAAATCTTCATGTGGTAAGTCTAATAGCCAATATGGACATTGGGTCACTTCGCAGTCTCTGGAACTTATCGATGCTCGCTGGCATATTCCGGCTGGAAGCGAACACAATGAAGCTCGCAAAGATCTCCGTGGTAGCCTGAAGAGAGAGCGAATTTTGGTCGTCATTGTGCAGCAGAGATGGAAATGGTCACTGCCGTTGGTAACCATCCTAAGTTATTCCGTCTGATAGGGGAAACGGGCAGCAGGAGACTTGATGTTAGTGAAACAATTTGTGACGAGAGTGGACAGCCTATCCACAACTTGTCAAAACGTTTGGAGCGTTGGGCTGAGCACTTTGCAAGGCAGTTTAATCGGTCGGAATTGTTAGATTTTTCGCCCGCCACTAAACACACCGCTCCCTGGGTTGTCCCTTGAGATCCACCCTCTCGCTCATAAGTCGAACATGAGATTGCACTGTTGAAGTTAAATAACGCCGCGGGACCAGATGATCTTCCTCCAACCCTCTTCAAATTCAAGGGGGACGGCTTTTGTTTATGATTTATACGAGTTACTAGGGAAACTGGGGGCAGGAAACTGTCCCAGTCGACTAGGACCGCTCCATTGTTGTTCCAATCTTCAGAGGAGGCTCGCATTCGGAATGCGGCAACTATAGTGGAATCAGTCTGATCCCCATAGCACCCAAATTACTTGCCTCTGTAATCCTTCACAGACCGACTGGCGCTCGTGAAAGCTACATTCGTGAAGAGCAAGCTGGGTTACGTCAGGGTCGTGGCTGCATCGACCACATCTTCACTTTGCGTCAGTTGTTGGAGCACCGTCACACATATTGGCGGCCCACCGTTGTCGTATTCCTCTATATCGAAGATACATTCGATTTAGTCCATAGACGTGCACTTTGGGACTGTCTACTCAGGAAAGGTGTACTTGAGAAATATGTGCATATCATCCGATCATTATACGCGCGTAGCTCAGGCAGAGTGAGGGCTTACAGCAAGCTGTCGTCGTCCTTTAATATCTCCAGCGGTGTGAGACAAGGATGCCTGCTGTCACCTTTCCTCTTCAACTTCGCTATTGACGAAGTCATGGAAATCGCGTTTACAGGACAGGACTTAGGAGGTGTGGATGTGCTCCCAGAAGAACGACTTCTTGACTTGGAGTATGCAGACGATATTACCCTCATCTGACAGCTCCCAGATGAGCCAAGCTGCACTGCACAGCTTAGCACTGGCTGTCAGTCGCTTCGGGCTTTGCTTTGCACCTTCGAAGTGCAAAGCGTTCCTGCACGATTGGCCTGGACCGCCTCCTTCACTGACCCTTGGTGGGGATCAGCTAGAAGTCGTTCAGAAATTCAACTACCTGGGAAGTTGTATCAGCGCCCGTGGGATTGAAGATGAGATCACAAACCGTATAGCAAA